CATTACTCCTCCTCCTATATCTTTCCGTTTAGCCTCTGTACAACCTCCCACTATTATCAGGAACACATGATTAGGATCAACAACAAAAGATGATACAGTATGATCATATCTACCAGTAACAGAATCAGGTACAGGAATCTGTAGAGAGAATAAGAAATAGAGTATAAACTTTACAGTCACATTGGTATCAGTTATGGGATAGTTTGATGTTAGGTGGCTATAGGGTTAGCATTTAGGGGCACTGCTCAACCAAATTTTAAAAACCAGTAGAAAGCAAAATATTAATTTTTAGCCACACCTTAAACAACGTAAAATTTTTAGTCAATTCAAATTCATTATGCTGGTTTAACCAGCATATTAACCCAGGGGCGTAGCCAGGGGGGCAAATGCCCCAAAATCAAAATTTAAAATTAACAAAATAATAAGCTACTTTTGGAAGAAAAAGCTATTTCATAATTTACATATGAAAGGAAAAGGCTAAATCAGTCTTTTTTATAATGCTATTATAAAGCAGAAAAGGTATTCAACGTTGCCTATGATCATTAAAAAGTCCACCATGTTGAAAATAAGGTATGATCAGGGGCGTAGCCAGGGGGGCAATTGCAACCCTTTTTTAAAACTCAAAATTAAAAAATAATCAAATAATAAGCTGCTTTTGGAAGGAAAAGCTGTTCTACAACTTACATATGAAAGGAAAAGGCCAAAGCAGTCTTTCTATGATGCCATTATAAGGCTGAAAAGGTATTCAACGTTACCTATGATCGGTCAAGACATGTCCAGAAATTGCAATGGGACTTCCGGTCGCGTTAATTTAATGATATTCATTGGAATTACCATAGCAACGGCAGTTCAGCAATGGTGGATTGATAGGAAGCTTCACTACAAAGCTTGCTAACGTCTTTCTGGTACATGGATGGGACTTCACTAGATACTTGAGGCTTCTAGAATGCTACTTAATGCAATTGGTTATGGTAGTTTTCTCATATTCTTTTGTTAAAGTGGCAAGCGTGGTGAAAGAACAGGCTCTTCTCAACAAACGGCCGTCTTACTTCAAAAAGGTCTAGAGACACTATTTGCTTGTATATATAAGATGTTAAGCACTCTTTCTTTCACTTTATTATTCCTAAGAGAAGAGGAAAGCACTTGTGACTTGTTGACTCTTGCTGCTGCACCCATCATCATTGAAATAGCTAAAATTACTTCACCTTCAGGAGACAAATGTTCCAAACAAAGTTTTGAATTTCTTTATCTTTTTTGCATCATTGGGTAGTAAGAATTTTGTACTTTCACAAAATAAGTGAGCAAATTGTCAAAAATTGTTTGAAATTTAGATATAACCATTCAAAAAGTAAAAAAATTATCATGCATACATAAAGGAATGACAAGATGGCGGCACTGACTGCCTCATCTTCAATTGGTAAATGTTCCACACAAAGTTACTCCAAATGCTGTAATATTTAGCAGGAACACAGGTAGATGGATGAAGAACAGCTACTGAAGTGCGCAAATTGATGATTCTTATTGTAAAGAAAGATATAGCCTAGTAAATGGAAATGTCCATTCCTGCCCTGTATAAAGTCAATCAGTGGTATACGGAGATAATTGCTCAGTATACTACTCCGTGTCCACTCATTTCTGGACATGAACTCCGCCATGTTGAAAAATAGGCGTGGCTATGCCCCAAAAGGGCATGGTTCCGCAAAATTTTTCGGCGCGCTTTGCGCGCCGCACAGCTGCCCCCCCTTTCCAAAAATCCTGGCTACACAACTGATGATCACACCCCAAACAAGCATAACAGTGTAAAAAGTATTCCTATAATTGATTTCACCACCTTGCAAGTACAACTTGGTCATTATTAAGACTTATAGAGGTTCTCTCTACCTTCTAATGCTTCTAGAGAAGTCTTTAGACAGTATCTCTATG